AAAATTTCCTTTCCCTGAAACCATTCTCAAACTTCTTCTGCACTCTCCAATGCATTCACATAATTTCTGAAGTGTGGCACCCAGAAATGTGCACAATACACCATCTGAGGTCTAAGTAATGTTTTACACAAGTTCATCTTCAGTTCCTTTCTCTTATATTCTGTATCCCTCTTAATAAAGCCTAGGATGCTCTCTCCACCTGTCTATCTACCTTTAATAACTTAGGCACATATACATGTAGGTCACTCTGCTCCTGCACATCCTTTAGAATAGCACCCTTATACTGTCCATATTCTTTCTACCAAAAAGATATCACCTCTCTCTTTTTCACATCGACAAGTTGATGAAGTGGGCAGTTGGCAGCAGATAAAGTTCAATGTTCTTTTGGAGTTCTTTTGGAGGTTTCTTTAATCTGCAAACTTTGAAATTGTCCTCTGTAATATGCATCAGGCAAAGCAAAGATCCCAATATTGAAAACCTAGGTAACGTCACTACAAATCTTCCTCCAGCCTGAAAAATATTATTTAACCATTACTCTGTTTCCTATCACTCAGCCAATTTTGTACCCATGTCTACTGTTCCTTTTATTCCATGATCTCTAACTTTTTTTACAATTTTGTTATGCAACATGCTTTGATATATATTAACAATACTACCCTCATCAATCTCCTTGTTATCTCAAAAAATCTTGAAGGTGGTTGAACATGACTTTTCCTTAAGAATTCTTTGCAGGCTGTCATTAATTAACCAGCATTTGTCCACATGACTAAAAATTAAATTCTAAATTGTTGTTTCCAGAAGTTTTTACACCCCCGAATTTTAACTCACTAGTTCTATAATTGCTGGGTTTATCCTTAGATCTTTTGAACAGAGGTGTGATGTTTGGAGTTCTCTAGTCCTCTAAGGCCACCTCCAAGTCTAAGAAAGACTGAAAAATTATGGCCATTGCCCCTGCAATTTTCACTCTCATTTCCTTCAGTGTCCTTGGATGCATCTCATCTGGTCCTGTTGTCTCATCAACTTTTAAGTTCTAACAGCTTATCCAATATTTCTAGTGCCTAAATGTCCTTCTCTGTTGCCATGGCTTGGGTCGCATTGGTTTGCTTGGTAAAGATATTTAATGCCTCAATGGCCCATCTCCTCCTCTTACTATTTATGTGTCTATAGAAGATTGAGATTCCCTTTCATGTTAGCTGCCAGTCTTTATTCATTATCCAACTTTGCTTCTCTTCTTTGAAGATAGCCCATTGTTTAGTTACAGTTTTTCCCACCAATCTTTGACTCTATCTGTGTAGCTCAATCGGTTCATGGCCGACTGAAGTCACCTTTTTCCCAGTTCATTATTCTTAATCTTTATTATAGCCACAACATCATAATTCCTGATGGCAATCTGTGCCTGTAACGCATTAACCTTATTGTCTATATTCTGTGTATTCACATACATGCACAAGAACCATGACTCAAAACATTTTAATCCTCATTCCAACTCTACATATTAACTTACTATTCTCTATTGTAGTGCTATCTGTCTCCCCCAGTATTTCATGCACCCTGGTATTTCACTCTGATATTCTTTTTCCTCACTTCCATACCCCTGTGTTAGTTTAATCCCTCCACAACAGCATGAGCAAAATGCTGCACAAGGAACTCAATCCCAATTCTGTTGCCCAGAGTCTGTCCCAGTGTCCTTGGAATCTAAAGCCCTCCCTCCTCCATCAGCTTTCCAGCTACACATTCATTTGTCTTATCTTCTCATTTATGTACTCATTTGTACATGGCACTGGGAGTAATCTGGATATTGTTACTTTTGAGATCCTGACGGCTCATTTTCTACCTTGCTCCCGAAATTCTGGCTGCAGGACCACATTTCCTTTCTACTCACATTGGTGTCAATATGGACCACAACCCTTGGTTGATCACCCTCCCCCAGCTGACTGTCCTGCCACTGTTATGTGACATTCTTGAGCCTGGCACCAGGAGACAACACAGCGTTCTGGAGCATCAGAAACACATGACTATTCCCCAAATTAACAAGCTCTGTTCTCTACTTTTCTCTCCTATATAGCTAAGCCAAATGTGATGGTACAAGGCTACTATATTCCTCTGAGGAACTACTGGCTTCACCATTTTGCAGAATGGAAAATTTACTGTGAGCAGATTCATCTTGAGGCAGTTCTGCACTACTTCCCTAATTCTCTGCTCACCTATGTGCTATCCACTCAATCCTTTGCTTTACAAATGCACCACAGTGACTCCAACCTGGAGCTCATGTATCAGCATCTGCAGAAACTTGCTGCACTTGCTAATGTGAGTTAAATCAAGTGTCCGTGAAACCCCCACCTACATTCCACACACTTGAGCTACCCTGCTTTAAGGTTTACTTTTAGACTATTATTACAAACTGTACATTAGAGAGTAGAAAGCAGAATTACTCACCAATCAACTCGTCTGGACCTACGTATAGGATACTTAAGGGGAAGGGTGAGAACCAATTCCTATGGGGCTAAAATGGTTTTTAAAAACAAAGAAGCATCTCCTTGCAATCCTCTTCTAACTCACCCATCTCCTGGCACTCTGTTCATGTCACAATCCATGCTAAATCACACTGGGATACTATATGTTTGAACTGAAGACTTTTCTGAGCCCCAGTTACAGACAAAAACAAAACATTTTAATCTAGCTTCCTTAATTAATTGCTGCTGTACAACAGTTTGTAATGGAACTTTTTCTGAGCATGACCCATCATTTAAAATTAAACAGAGTAACTCTTTTTTTCATTCAATTAAACTAGAATTTAAGGCCATTGTAAAATTAGTTGTTTTTTATGCCAGTTATTATAATGATATCTATATAATACTCACATTTGCTGGGCCCCTCAGAGGGCAGAGTCTAATAAAGACTCCGGAAGGAGCTCTTCAGCCACAGGAGAAGGTGACTGAGGAGGATGCTCATATTAACTTTCCCTGTGGCTGATGACAGGGAAACTCCTGTGCAATCACTACTGATGGACCGGTCATCTTTCTTGAAGTAAGTCACAATTGCAGCATCTCTGAGATCTGCTAGCATGCTCTCCTTCTCTCTGATAGACGAAATGGGGTCATGCAATAATATTAATAGTGTTTCTCCGCCATATTTTAGCACTTTGCTGGGAATTCTATCTGCTCCTGATGCCTCGCTGTTCTTTTTTTATCTCCAGGTTGCAGTTGTGCTGACTTGGTGTGGGATGGAGTAAAGATATTTGTGTTAAAGACAGAGTCTCTCTCAAAGAAATTTTCAAAATGCTCCTTCCAGCAGGTGCTGACTGCCTCTCTGTCCATTCCTCCAATTCTTGGCCAGCAGTGGAGTTGGGCATTGGGTGTGTGTGTCATATAGTCTTCCCTGTGCTAAGGAAATTAGGCACATCATAGCTACTAGCTAACTGATGCATCTCCTGTGCTTTCGCTGCCCACCACCTGTACTTTAGGTCACAGCTTTTTTGCTACACATCAGCCTTCAGCCATCTCTAGAGCTACTTTCAAGTTTTCAAGATGGGTTGCTGTTTCAGCCTCAAAAATGCTTGTACTTGTGACCCAGCAGGTCCTGGACCTTCCCACTGAACCGACTCTTGGTGTTTTCTGATTGAGTCAACAACCGTCTCTTCACAGATACTTATTATGGAAGCCTTGGCACGGTCAAGGTCCAGTGTAAATGTTAAATTTAAATGTTAAGTTTAAAATTTAAAATGTAAATGTAAAATTTTCACTCTGCGTCACCAGGAGTCATCGGGATGGTAGTGAGGCATGGGCAGAATAGGGTTGTATTAGCAGGGTGGTCCAAGTGCCTGTGTTATAGTTTCTGTCACTGCTTTGGGCAACATTAATGTGGATGACACAGTGAACTATGTTCTGGTCCATCGAGCAGTTGTTGGCTCATGCCATGGTGTGGATGATACGCATGTCCTTTCTTTCCTTTTCTCGGATGATGATCATCCATATTCCTGACATGAAACTCCCAAAATAAGTGCTCTACTCAAGAGCTTTGACATGGTAAGCAAAGTCCTCAGCGAGGCAGAGGAAATGTCTCAAGGACACCCTCAAAATTCTCCTTAAAGAAGTGGAACATCCTTATCAACATCTGGGAAGGATCTGCACACCGGAGAGCATGGCAACCCAGGCAGCTCACCCCCACTGTTCCCCCAACCACTGTCTGCCCTTCCCTTGATAGAAACTGTAGGTTATGCATCGAATTCTTCAGTCACTTGAGGGCTCGCTTTTAGTGTGGACATAAGTTGTCCTCAAACACAAGGAACTGCCTAAGAAGTCATCGATTGCTTCAAACTTGTTTAATTTTGAATTTCTTAAAAGCATCCTGTTTCATTAACAGGAATGCCACTGAATACTTTCTACTTGATAGAGACATTTTACATGCTACGCTGTGAGCTTTACGATTATACAATACAAAAGCAGCTTTGAATAAAAAAAAGTATACCACCCTGAACTAGAAATATAAATTAATTTTATATTTATGTATACCCCTGGTAATTTGGAGAATCTATTGGGATTTCATCAGTCTCAGCACCCTTGGGAGGCAAAGAAAAATAAACCAGCAGCATTATTCTAATTAGTAACCTATTGGAAAGCACCAGCACAGACTGTCAATTGGATCAGGTCCGTTTGAGATCCTCCAAACTCAAAGCTTTTTATCACTATCCAAGCATGAAAATGAAAATGGACACTTAAGCAAAGTATTACTTAGCTTTTGGCCATTATGGAACATGATATTTGTAGGAGGTGGCAGACTGGGAGAATGGGAAGATGTTTTTACAACCTAAAAATAAAGACTAATGAATACAAAATACTGCTATGCAGTGTCTTGCAAATCAATGAAATACCACCATTTAATACCTGAATTATAACCAGTGCCTTTGGCACTGTTATAGAATGATATCACAATAGTGAATAACCATTTAAAGTCAGAGGCCAACAGTGTTAGGGTAAACTAGGTTGAACTTGAAACAAAACTAATTTTCACATTTGCTAGATTTATTTTTGAAACAGCTGTTACCTTGAGAAAGTTAAAATAAAACCCGTGAAGTTTAAACAATGCAATATGGTAAAAATACTATTTACAGTGGTTGGTATTTAACTGTTGGCCATTAAATAAAGAATAACAGCCAATTTCCATAGGCCATCGAATGAGCCAGCAAACAACTGCTACGATGAACTATATTAGCATACACAATGAGAAAATAGCAAACATCAAAAACTCTTTCCAGTTACCAGGAGTAAATTGAAACAAAAGCTTGCATACAACAGTGAAAGGTTTCTCATAGTAATAATTCATCCTTTAACAGCAAAAAACTGAGTTAAAATTTTGTCTACCTCCATTGCTTAAAAGTTAAAATCCTTATATTACATTGATGAAAATTGGAAAAAAATGCACATTTAAAAATTTACTATGAATAAGCAAAAGCATGTAACCAATGTCCACATTAAGAGCATCTCATAAATCAAATTGCACATTGTTTTTTAAGCAGCATATTTATACCAATTAAGGCATGGGACATTATAAATGTGTGCAATTTTGTACATTTTCTCTTTTGAAACAACATCTTGTTTACCAAAGTATACTAAATTTACATAATGACAGAAAATAAAATTTCATTATTGCAGTGGTAGTTCTGAGAGACTCACACCAGGTGTGGCATGGAACTACAAAAGCTTACTCAAATGTTCCACTTTGGTGACATTCTTGCAGTTTATTCCTAGTCTATGATAATGACTAAAGTCTTGAATTATCAGTTCACATCTTTAGGGATTTCTTTAGGGATGCCAGATATTTTTTTCACCGACAGTAGAAAAAATTTCAATTACCACAAAATCTGCCAACACTCTGAATGCTGTGACTTGCTGGCTGATCATATTCTGCTTTGCCATTCTTTGAATTATTATTAGTAACACCTTGTGGTATTTGATAATACACACTACTAGAGTGTAATCCATTACCATTAGGAATGTTGGGTTCAATGTGAGAATCAGTCACTTGAGAAGACAAAGGCATTTTCGTTAAAGATGTTACTGGTACATTATAGGAAGCTTCTTTTGAGCATGGATTCTTTCTTGTAGAAGAACTGAGGTGTTGCACTTTGTCAACAATTGGGGTTGCATATACTGGTTCCTGATTAGTTAAGGGTTCTGCATATTCATGTTGGTTTTCAACAAGAGGGTTCATTGAATCTGTTCCACCAATTCCACCATCTTCATCTGTGTCCATTGGTTTAAAGGTGGAGCCCTTTCTCGCCACTCTTACTGTTCCAACCATTACAGATAGCTGGTAATCTTCAAAACAAAGGACAATTCAAACACATTAGCACATAATTTTAATCCTCCATACCATCCCACACTGTAAGACTTCTTTCAGCATTAATACACAAATAGATTTTAGAACTGTTTTTAATGGTTATTGTTTTATGGGATTTCCCAAGAAAGGAATTCTGTGCATTGTGCAGGTAATTGCGATCGCAAATGTAATATAGAAGGATAAGTATTTGGGTTTCAGCAGCCAGCCAGTAAAAAAAAATGCACAAAATTTTGCTTTGGATTTTATTAATTCAAGGATGTAGGCTCCACTAGCTGTACCAGCATTGTTTGCCCATCCATACTGGTCATGTGATTAGCTTCTTTTCCTTGGTTTTTAAGAATAAGAAATGATCAAACCTTAAAGACATTGTGACCGCATCTAAAATATCATACATGTGGCAGATATGCAAAACGACTTTTAATTTTATAAACAGCATTTTTATATTAGATTGATCGTAATATCTCAATAATAATACTTATGCCACTGCTCATGCAGCTTCTTTCAAACATGTTACAAGTAGACCCTTTCAAGTAAAAGGATTAAAGATGCTGGAAATTTGAAATAAAATCACGGAACTGGACAAACCCAGCAGGTCTGGCAGTGTCTGTGAACAGAGATGGTGGTTAAGAAAGGCATATTAGATACTTACCTTTGCTATCCTACTGAAAGAAGGGAATTCCAAAGAATAGTCATAATGAATTTGAAATCTGTTTCTCTCTCCGCAGATGCTGATTTTCTCGAACACTTTGGTGTTATTTCAGATTTCCAGCATCTCTATGCTTTGTATCATTTTTATATAAAATGCTGGTAAGGCCACAACTAGAGTAGTGTGTATGGTTCTGCTCATCACATTATATCAATTATGTGGGTTAACTCGAGAGGGTGCAGATTTACCAGGATGATGCCTGGGCTGGAGGTTCTATGCTATGAGGATAAGCTGGGTAGCTGTCCACCTTCGAACAGCAAAAGGTTGCGAGAGCACCTTATCAATGTGTCACAATTAGGAGGATTATAGATGGATAGGAAGGTACTTTTTCCAGTAGAGGTGTCAATAACCGGGAGCACAAATTTAAGCTAAGTAGAAGGAGGCTTAGAGGAGAATTAAGGAGAAATGTTTTCACTCAGACAGTCCTGGGAATCTAAAAGAGAGGTTGAGTCAGAACCACTCATAATATTTAAGCAGAATTTTAGATACTCACTTGCATTGTCATAGCCTCCAGGGCTATGGGTCAAATGCTGGAAAACAGGATTAGTGCATTCAGATCTTTGTTGACTGGTTTGGTCATAATGGAGTGAATAACCTCCTTCTGTGCTATAAATGTCTATGAGAATAGAGGTGTTTTTCAAAACTTTAAAACTGGCTGTCCAAAAACTGGACAACTTTAAAATGTGTCATGCATTTTTATATAACCCAACTAAAATTAGTTTAGAGATAGTAGGAACTACTGATGTTGGAGAATCTGAGATAACAAGGTGTACTGCTGGATGAACACAGCAGGCCAAGCAGCATCAGAGGAGCAGGAAAGCTCGGGAAGCGTCAGCTTTCCTGCTCCTCTGATGCTGCTTGGCCGGCTGTGTTCATCCAGCTCTGCACCTTGTTATCTAAAATTAATTTAATTGGACAATTCTACTAGGCACTGCATGGCACTGGATTTATCCAATTTGTTGCTTGTGTGTCAATATATTCCCATATTCCAAGCACTCTTGAGGCCACCTGTTCCAGATGGACCTAAACGGCTCATTGCGTAAAGTATCCGAACCCAAAATTCACCTTAATCCAGTCTTGAGGCTGCTGTTGAGAAAGTGTACCTGTACAAACTTTAGTGCATAAATAGGTTTTTCAGGGTGTCTAAGTTCACAACAGTTTCTTTTACCTGATGAGTCACTCCTGACAACGTCAAGTTTCTGCAAGGTCTCCTTTTCATGGCTGTAGTTAATAGTAAACTCAGTTGATTGGGGCCTTTTGAAGGACTGTTTGAATTGTTTCCAGCAACCTATGTTACATAATATGAGTACTGTTTCAATTCATTATCATAAATGAATGAATATTTGACAATATTGATTGGTAGAGAAGCAAATCATCCACTTGTGACATTAAATCAAAGATTACACGATTGAGTACTGTACCTGCCAACATAGCAGCACCAAAGGAAGAGGCGCAGGTTGTGAGTAACTCAAAAACATGGTGGGGGAGGGGACAGTGGAAAAAAGAAAGGGAGGCAATGGCCTGCTGGTATTATCGCTAGACTATTAATCCTGAGACCCCTGTAATGTACAGTCTCACCAATGACCCGTATACTAAAGCATACCATCATTAATTTAAGATCAATTTCTCTCAAAATGAAAAATAGCATCTAATTAGCTTTCTTGATTAGATGCTGTACAATAACATTTTATGATTCATGCAGAACACCTAAATCCCTCTACAGCATGGAATTCTGCAATTGTGCTCTGTTTCTGTAATTCTTGCCTTATGTATTCTTCCCGCCAAAGTGAACCACTTCACATTTTCCCACATTATACTCCATTTGCCAGAGTTTTGCTCACTCACTCAAACTATCTATATATTTCTTCAAATTCCTTAGATCTGATTCATGATGTACTATCCTACCTATCTTGTTATTGTCTGCAAATCTTAGCTATCGTGACTTGGCCCCACTCAGCTAAGTCATTGCTGTAAATTCTAAAAAGTTAAGGCCCAGCACAGACCCCTGAGAGATTCCGCTGGTCACATCCTTCCAATCATCCCCACTGCCCTACTATACACTGTTAACTCCGTATTGTCTCTCTCCAGAGGCCCAACACTCAATTTACTCACTCTTTTCCATTTTAAATGTTCATAGAAATCCCTGCCCTCTGTTTTTACATTCCGGGATAACTTCCTTGCACACTCTTACTTGATCCTTTTAACATTTTAATCATTCTCTGTCTTTTTAAAATATTTTGACCAATCATCTGACTTGCCACTCAGCTTTGTGCAGTTTTGTTTTTGTTTTCCTAAATTTTATGTTTTCATTAACTTCTTCTGTAAACACAGTTGGTGGGTCCTCTCTGTAGAATAATTCTTTATAGAATAAGAAATATACTTATACTGAGTTGTTTGAAACATCCCCTTACATATCTGTCTGTGTGTCTCTATTCATTTATTCCTTAGGCTAATAGCCCTGTTCACTTCAGCCAGATGAACTTTCATCCCCACATAGTTGCTCTTATTTAGGTTTCTTAACTGCAGTTTTCTCCCTTTCAAATTGCATGTGATAATTAATTCCATTTCAAATTATTTCTAGAAGCTACCCCAATGCCGAAGGTAAACTGGTTTGTCTGTAAATGCTAGCCAGAACCCTATGCATTTTGTTTTAAACAACAGCATAATGGCAATTCTTCAGTTGAATAACTACACTTACATCGTTGGCTGTAAAGTATTTTGGGATATCTTGAGAAAATGCGAGGTACAATATAAATGCATTTATTTCTTTCTAACCTGTTCTTTGACTAGAGATACCAATATCTTGTGTCTTCTTTCTGCAACGGAAAAGCAATTCTTAGAATTAGGACAAAATAGAGCAACAACTGATTTTTACATGACAAGAAACAGTTTCTAGGACTACTTTATAGGATGTGTAACTGAAGAAATAATATCAGCTAAGTATTTGTGTCTTTCTTGTCCAGCAAAAGAAAAAGGTCTAAGCCAAAGATCTGCCTAGACTTATTAAAGAAGACACCATGCTCATCCGCTGCTCCCGATGTGGCCTCCTCTACATTGGTAAGAACATGCGGAGGCTCGGAGACCGCTTTGTAGAGCACCTGCACTCTGTTTGCAACAAACGACAACACCTTCCAGTCGCGAACCACTTCAACTCCCTCTCCCACTCCCTGGACGACATGTCCATCCTGGGCCTCCTCCAGTGTCACAATGACGCTACCCACAAACTGGAGGAGCAGCACCTCATATTCCGCCTTGGAAGCCTACAACCCAATGGTCTCAAAATGGACTTTACCCGTTTTAAAATCTCCCCACCCCCGGCCTCATCCCATGACCAACCCTCCCTCTCATCCCCGCCTCTTTGATCTGACACAACCTGTCTGTCTTCTCTCCCACCTATCCGCATCCCCCCACCTCACTGACCAATCCTCACCACTGCCTACCTGCACTCACCTATCACCATCCCACCTACCTTCCCCAGCCCCACCCGCTTCTCCCTATTTATTTCAGAGCTCCCTTCCCCCTACCCCATTTCTGATGAAGAGTCCCGACCCGAAATGTCAGCTTTCCTGCTCCTCTGATGCTGCCTGGCCTGCTGCGTTCTCCAGCTCCACACTGTGTTATCTCTGACTCCAGCATCGGCAGTTCTTACTATCTCTGAGCATGCTCTCCTCATGAGCTTTACTAAAAGATGTTCCTAGATAGTCAAAATAATAAACCACAGAAGAAAACATTAAAATTGTTTCACTGGGGACTGGGGTAAGGAATACAAAAAGTGAATGGCAGTGGGAAAATTCAGCCCTGAAATTCTTATTTTAGATGCATATAACAATGTTTTTTTAAAAAATAAATTACTTCCTCATTTACACTATCCTCCTTCAGTCAATTTACGAAGTTATAGAAAAATACTGATTAAACTTCGCTTTCAGTTACTTTCTTAAACTCTTGATAATGAAAATTCCTAATATTATTAACTTACTTTCTTAAACTCTTGAAAATGTAAATTCCCAATATCGTAAGTCCTATACAAACTACAACTGGAACCACAATAGCTACGAGCCATATTCCTGAATGGGGAGAGAAGAAAAATACTTAAATTATACATTTTCTTTCTGGATCTAATGGTTGGAGCATTTTTCTCATGAGTTATGGTTTCACACAAAATAATTATTTTATCAAAGTCAAAAGCATCAGAAAATGTCCCCTAATCAGAAACCAAATCTCTGTAGCAGAAAATCTCTGACTGAATCAATCGCTCATTTGTTAATAAACTTAAAATCTCTGGAATTTTCCATTTTTAGCTGATCTCACAATAAGATGATTACTGGTCGTGGAAAGTTTGTTAACATTCTACCAGTCTATCCATTATAACTCTGATGGAATACCCTCAAAACAGGAAGGGAATTATGATAAACATCTGCTTATGCAGCTTCCCTTAGAGTTCTGTGGTCACCTGCTGGAGTTTCTTCAGTAGACAGGTAGACCTCTGACAGAGTTTCAGAACTTCAGTCTCTAATTTTAACAAAAAAAATGACTTATACAAGATACATGTAGTTCTGTTACAAACTCACTAATTCAGGTACAAATTCCAGACAATCAGTTATTAACTTGACTAAAATAAGCAAAGTTGGAGATTATACTAACATCCTTACCACAATTTATATCTCTTGTAATTACTGGATCTGTATTGTTCACATGTTCTTTGTCTTGTATATCAGGAGGACGAGTAGGTTTTTGTTTATCACCTGTAATTGCTAGAAAAATACAAACAATTTCTCTTATTAAAATAACACAACTTTAATTACATTATCTCTCAGTTAGCAAATGCAGATCATGTTTCCCCACAAGGATTACATCACACCTGTGGTGTTCAGGGTGGAAAAACCCACAAATCCATTACACTGAAATAACAGGTAAACATGTAAGTGATAGTAATATTTTTACTTGAGGTAGATCTTTCCTCTGCTCTTTAATACTAAGAGCACATTTTTTTAACCAGAGAATTCAGCATCTTCTCTACATTTTTTCATTTTGTTTAGCTTCTTTTTGATTACACCATTCATTCATCTCTCCAGTCTCCTCATTTTTCAGCTCCATCTAAGATTCAAAAGTCTCATTTTCAAAGAAGGTTTGGAATCCCGAATTATCAGAATTCCAGCAGTATTATTTTCTTATGTAATACTGACATTGGAACACAAACTGCACACCATGTTCTGATATCTGCTAATTTAAATAAATAAACTAACCCTCCATTAATGCGATGGATGCATGGATTTAGGATGAATAAATACTTTTAATCAAATATTGAACAGAAATATTGGCATGGTTGAAATCCAACTAATTGTCATCAACAGAACACTTTTGAACAAACATTACTAGCTGATGCTCAGTATTGCTGCGCGTGGATGTCAAAGCTACGATTGGTATTTGGTTGAAGCAGGGACAAAGGGCAGGGAATAATTGGATCCTGGTAGTACAGAAGAAAGAATGAAGGTGGAGAATGACACTAAGAATGGAAGGTGCACAGGGTGCATTGGAGAAACATGGCTTGAAGGGGAGACGAAGGGTATGACAGTATTTGGGAATGAAGAGGAAAAACATGATGGGGTTGTGAGAGAATGGAAGGAAGATGTGGAAGCAATGGCATACTGGTATTAGCACTAGACTATTAAGTCTGAGTCCCTGTAATGTTAGAACATAGAACAGTGCAGCACAGGAACAGGCCCTTCGACCCACGATGTTGTGCTGAACATGATGCCAAATTAAACTAATCCCTTCCGCCTGCCCTTCATCCATCTCCCTCCATTCCTTGCATATTTATGTGCTTATCCACAAGTCCCTTAAATGCCCCTATTGTATCTGCCTCCATCACCACTCCTGGGCAGCATGTTCCAGACTCCTACCACTCTGTGTAAAAAAACTTGCCCCTCATATCTCCTTTGAACTCTCCCCCTCTCACCTTAAAGGCATGCCCTTTAGCATTAGACATTTCAACACTGGGGAAAAGATTCTGACCATCAGTCCTATCTATGCATCTCACAATTTTATAGACTTCTATCAAGTCTGTCCTCACTCTCCACTGCTCCAGGGAAAACAACCTGAGTTTTTCCAGCCTCTCCTTCTAGCTCATACCCTCAAATCCAGCCAGCATCCTGGTAAACTTCTTTGGACCCTCTCCAAAGTCTCTACGTCCTTCCTGTAATGTGGCGACCAGAACTGAACACAATAGTCTTAAGTGTAGCCTAACCATAGTCTTATAACGCTGTAACATGACATCCTGACTCTTGTACTCAAATTCTTGACCAATAAAGTCAAGCACCCTATCTACTTGCATGGTAACTTTCAAGGAGCTATGGACTTGAACCCCAAGATCCCTCTACACCTTAATGATGTTCATAGTCCTGCCATTAACTGTATACTTTTCCTCAACATTTGATCACCCAAAGTGCAGCAACTCACACTTAGCCAGATTAAACTCCATCTGCATTTCTCCGCCCATATCTGCAACTGATCTATATTCCGCTGTATCCTTTGACAACTTTCTACACTCTCCACAACTCCATCGATCTTTGTATCATCTGCAAACTTACTAACCCGCTCATCGACATTTTCATTAAAGTTATTTTATATATTATATCACAACAGCAGAAGTCCCAGTACAGATCCCTGCAGAACACCACTAGTCACAGGGACCTCCAGCCAGAAAAACACCCTTCCACCACCACCTTCCACCTTCTATGGGCAAGCCAATTCTGAATCCATGTGACTAAGACACCATGGATCCAATGCATCTTAAGCTTCATGATGAGCCTAACAAGAGGAACGTTGTCGAAAGCCTTACTAAAATCCATGTAGACAACATCCATCGCACTACCCTCATCTGAGGACCTGGGTTCAAATCCTGTCATGGCAGACGGTGAAATTTGAATAAAATTTAACAAATTCTGGGTGACTATCAATGTGGAGTTTGCACACTCTCCCTGTGTCTACGTGGATTTCCTCCGGGAGTTCCTGTTTCCTCCCTCAGTCCAAAGATGTGCAGGTTAGATGGATTGGCTGTGCTAAATTTCCCATAGTATCCAGGGATGTGCAGGCTAGGTGGATTAGCAATGGTAAATGAAGAGTTATAGGGCTAGGGTGAGGGTGGGTCTCGTTTGGATGCTCTTTGGAGGGTCGGTGCGGATTTGATGGGCTGAGTGGCCTGCTTCCACACTGTAGACATTCTATGAAGTGGAAGGTAACCTCTCCTTCTGTGGACCTGAATTCCCCTCTCAGGAGCCCATCCCACGGATCTATCCACCTCTGTCTTAAAATTATATAAAAACATTCAAGGGCTCTCCATCCACCAGCTTTGCAGGAAGAGGGTTGCAACACTCAGAAAAACATTCACCCAGTCTCTGCTTTAAGGCTGCGATACCTGATTTGTGATGACTAGTTCCACGAGGAAACTCCTCTTCATAGGATCATTCTTGATTCAATCAAAGTCACCTTTCACTCTTCTAAACCACAGCGGAAACAAGCTTAGCCTGTCCAAATGCAGCAAGACCGAGATAATATCCAAGTTCGGGCTGACAAATGGCCATACAAGTATCAGGTAATGACTGTCTCCAAAAGGATCTAACTATAGGCCTTGACATTCAGTGGCAATAAAATCACTGAGTTCCTCACTAAGAATATCACTGGGGGGTGGGGGTTTACCATTTACCAGAAGGTGAAGTTGGCTATTCATATATATATATATATATATATATAGGTTATAAAACCAGGTCAGAGGTTGTGAATCGTGCAGTGAGTAATTCATTCTTGATTCCCCGAAACCTGTCCATCATCAATAAAGGAGTGTAATGGAACGCTTCCCTCTTGCCTGGATGAGTGCAGTTCCAACAGCATGCCATGAAAATTGAAACCATCCAGGATAAAGCAACCTGCTGGATTGGTGCCGCATCCATATACATTCACACCCTCCACCAGATATGCTCAGTAGCAGTGGTCTGTACCACCTACAAGATGCACTACAAAAATTCACCATGGCTCCTCAGACAGCATCTTCCAAACTCACAACCGCTACCATCCGGAAAGACAAAGGAAGCAGACACATGGGAACATCGCCACCTACAAGCTCCTCCCCTAAGCCACTTGCCTTCCTGACTTGGAAATAAATTGCTGTTCCTTCAGGGATGCTGGGTCAAAATCCTGTAACGCTCTAATAGCATCATGGGTCTATCTATAGCAAATGGGCTACAATAGTTCAAGATGGCAGCTCACCATCACTGTCTCAATGCTAACTAGGGATTGACAATAAATGCTATCTTAGCCAGTGACACCCACATCACATGAATTAATAAAAGAAACCTTTTCTCGTAACGGTAACCTATTAATTTGAGCAATTAGTCTAATAAATTTTGTCTGAAATGCTTCAGATGTATTTAAATCCTTCTTTAAGGTGACCAGCACTGTGCACCGTATTCCAGATGTAGTCCCACCAGTTCCTTGTAGAAGTGAAGCATAACCTCCCTACTTTTGTATTCAATACTTTTCACAATAAGTGATAAAATTCCATTTGTTTTCCTAATTATTTGCTGTACCTACATACTAACCTTTTGTGATTCATGTATGAGGACACCTAAATCCCTCCGCATCTCAAAACTCTGCAATCTCTCACCAATTAGACTATATGTTTCAGTTTTATTCTTCCTGCAAAAATGACAACTTCACATTTTCCTACATCATATCAATTAGATTTTTCCAATCTATATGAGGATTAAAATTACCCATGATTAATGTACTTCATTTTTTCACAAGCCTTCATTTTCTTCTGATTTATTCTTTGTCCTGTAGAACTATTACTATTAAGGGGCCAATAGACTTCACCTATCAGTGTCTTCTTTTCTTTGTATTTTTCTTACCTCCATTCATATGGATTCTACATCATCAAACCCATTATCATTTCTAGCTAAAGTAATAATTCCATCTTGTACTAACAAGGCCACCACATCACCCTTCCCATTTTGCTTGTCCTTTTGAAAGGTCACAGACCCTGAATGCTCAGTTCTCAACTTTGATCTCAAGACAAGTGTGCTTTTTATCTTTATTATTTCAAAATCTCATCCTTAATAATGTAAAAGCAACTTATAATTTCCCTAACAAAAAACTCTTCAAAATGTTGTTAGAATTAACGTCCAAAACTGAAAAGCCATTATCTTAATTCAAACTGCTTAGAGTTATCAAAGATTGTGAATGACACTGTATGAATGTAAATTCTTCCTTTCTAATGGTCTATGAACATCAGATTAAGTCAAAAGAATATTCATACAGAAGGATTAATGATTATTAAACAAAAATTGCAGGCATAGTGATAAAAGATTGATTATGTGCAAATATACTCTAAAACTATAAATCAAAATACATTGATCGTATTTGGTTGAAAAGGTCTAGTCAATTTCATGCCAACACACCTTTCACATTTTGATTTCAATCTAAATGTACTCACATCGTATTTGCTGGCATCCTATTAACTCCATCTTAATGGCTATTCTCTGATTCCAGCTTTGAGGGATGACACGAATGTAACGTGCCAAGATGGCAGGGATGAAATTATTGCGAGTCAGTTGATTGTAATCAGTATTGCCCTCAAATATCTGCAATTAACATTAACATTTATTTATTCTCTTTTGAGAAGAACACTAAATACTTCCTAAATATAATTCAATTTTCACTAAGCATGAAATATTGACAGCTGTAGTTTTAGAACATAATTGATTGCTTATAGCAGTTTAATATTTTAAATGTTAATAATAATAAATAATAAGTGCCCTATTAGAGCAAATAAAGATTTACAAAAGTGTTTTTAAAGATGATGCTCAAACAAAATGCAGTTAAAAAATGAACTGCTATGATCAGCTGAGGTTTCCAAACTGCTGCAAAACACACATTTTCCCAAGCATACTTGCCTGTCCAACATTATTGTTGCTGTCTTTGTAGATTTTCCATTTTTGCCCATCTTTACTGAAGGAAACCTTATAAGTTTCTACATAAAACAGAAAGCGTGGAAGTGTGGAACCTGTGGTTATAATTCCTGAAGAGATTACAAAATAATATGAATATACCACTTGCATGAATTTTTATTTTTGTATATATATTCATTATGAATCTACAGAGTTCACAATGTCATTTAGAAGATAGAAAAATACAAAATAATTTTTAATATTGGTTTATTTTGAAGACTTCCAATGGAGACATGTTGCATAAAAGATTATCCTCAGATTCCAGTCAAACTACAATAATCCAGAAACCATTACATCCCTGCTCTTCCCTATTCAATGACTTAATTCTGACCTTGATGCATAATTAGTATACAGCAAACCAGGACAAGCTAGCCACACTTTCTTTACACTGTTCTCATTCTATTCTACATTTAATTGAAATTCAATTAAATCCTTGCACTTGTATTTTAATACTATCGATTTTTCTTTTGCAAAGTTCACATTCACATCATTTGAAAGGGGAGGTTGGGATAGGACGGTTGACACTTTGTTTTTTGGACAAGGCTTAAGAAACTAAGAACATGACAAAGTTATGTCCACACTTAAAATTTTCCTGAATAACCTTTCAGGAATTAAAAAAAAAGTCACTAGAAGGATTCACTAAGTAAGGCAACATTTGTAAAGAAAGGGAAGATGCTGATGTTTCAGGCACAGCCCTTCATCCAAATACATTTGCCTGGTTTTGTTTTAGGAAATGTTTCATAGTTTTTCATTTTTTTTTTGTCAGAGGTCAGGGGCAATGGTAACTTACTTTAACAATGGTATATTTAATAGGTGACATTACGGAACAGTTAGCTTTGCACAGCACATAGAATTAAACAGAAATTATAACATAGAAAGAAATGACTTAAACCAATGTGTTGGTGTTCAACTTCCTCATAAGGTGAAATATCAATTGAATATGATTTCTCTGAACATTTATCTATCTATTCACTATTCTTTCAATTTTTTTTTATTAGATGTTGCTACGGTCTCCAAAAACTCTTTAATAGTGTATTCAACAACCTCACCTCCCTGGGTGTAAAAATATTTCTCCTGCCGTCTGCCCCAATTTTCTCCAGAATTAATCGCCGCAAATTCCTCAATCAGTTTTTTTTGTCTACCTTTCCCTACCCTTTCACAGAGTCAGCATTTAATTCTTATGTTGCATTTCATGTTGCCGTAAAATTTCTATGTTTGCTACAGAACACATACATACCTGACGCATTAGACTTAATACACTGAAACAAAAACAAAAATTGCTGCAGAAACTCAGCAAGTCTGGCAGCATTTGTGGAGAGAAAACAGAGTTAATGTTTCATGTCCAGTGCTCCCTCCTCAGAACAGCATCTTTATAGAAGTTCTAAAGAAGGGTCACTGGATTGAAACGTTAATTCTGCTTTTTCTCCACAGATGCTGCCAGACCTGCTGAATTTCCCTAGCCATTTCTGTTTGTGTTTCAGATATTCAGCATCTGCAGCTATCGGTTTTATTTCAATACAATGCCCACGTTGGATTTTGATTCAACCACCATAAAATGCTTGATGCAGGAGCAGGACATGACTCCTAAAGGCAGCATGTTTACAGCATATCCATTTACAGTTGGTTCTGTTATAACACGTGTTTCATCAACATTAATTGGCTTTAATGCGATTGAAGAATTTAGACCACTATTTGTATTATGCAAACTTTCCTTACCTATAATGTAATTCCACCCCATTAGTTTAAATGGCACAGCTATTGCGCAATTTTCTTAGAAAGAACTATCTCGTTATATCAGAATCCCCTGTATTTGAAGGGCAATATTAACCTATGTTATTTTTTACAGATGAAATTTTTTAAAAAACCTTGTCCATCACAAATTGTATAAGAAACAAACAAAAACAGAAATTGCTGGAGAAACTCAGCAGGTCTGGCAGCATCTGTGGAGAGAAAGCAGAGTTCTGTGATCCTCAGAACTTGGTTAATATTAATAGGATCTGGAAATTGGTAGTGTGTTTTGGGTTTTTCTATTATTGCCATACAAGTTCACTAAAGCAACATATTACAGGACCATATAAACTGAAGAATATTATATAGGCCTCATAGAGGTTTATAAAATCATGAGGGGCATGGATAGGGTGAATAGTCAAGGTCTTTTTCCCAGGGGGTGGTGCGTGTATGACTGAACTGCCAGAGGAAGTGGTGGAGGCTGGTACAATTACAACATTCAAAAGGTATCTGGATGGGTATATGAATAGGAAGGGCTTAGAGGGACATGGACCAAATGCTGGCAAATGGGACTAGATTAATTTAGGATATCTGGTCAGCATGGACGTTTTGGACCAAAGAGTTTGTTTCTGCGTTGTACGTTTCTATGACTCTAAATCAAATGCTACGAAAAAGTGTAAATTTTGCAGGTATTTATAAATGTATTTATGTAAAATTTTGAAAAACAATATGCTCAGAAGTAGTAACAGAAATTCTTACCCCATCATATATACTACAAAAAGCCAATATAATTGATTTTTGCTTATGATGCAAATCATTTACTTATTATTTTCAACTCTTAAAGAACAGTATTTTTTTCCTGCTGTTTGCATGGTGGAAGGAGAATATTCTTTCTGATCTACAACTTGAAGTAATTTATGGATTACTTCCAGTTGCACAAGCTAGCGAGTACAGAAATAGGATGAATGCGTGACTCAGGACTTGGTGCAAGAGGGAGGGTTTTACACTTCTTGATCTCTGGGACTATTTCTGTGGAAAGTGGGACCTGTACTAGTGAAATGGTCTGCACCTGAACCAGAATGGGACCAAAATCCTTGCGGATAGGTTACTAGTGCTGTTTGGAGGGCAGAAAGGGCATTAATATAATAGGGACACAGCTAACATAGTAAAGGAATCAGGATAGAGAGAGTTCAGCCATGTTGTGACTCTATACAGTAAGGTAAGCCTTGATGATCTCTATTATAATGCTGGGAGTATGATAGGTAAGACAATTGAGTTAAGGGTGTGCATTAACACATGGAAATGAGATATTGTATGTCTCAGTACGGCTTTGTCAGAGACGGGAGGGAGAAACAGGACTGGCAACTCAATATTCCAGGGTATGGGATCTTCAAGCGAGGCAGAGGAAGTGCTGCATTACTAATTAAAGAGTTAGTTACTGTAGTACGGACACAAGATATTCTTTAAAAGATCTTCAAAAGAAGCTTTGTGGGTAAAATTGTGGAATAAAAAGGGTCAACCACATTACTGTATTATAGATCCTCAAACAGTAAGTGGACAATAGAGGAACAATATGTAGTCAATTCACTGAGGTGTGTAATGCTGATAGTAGGGTAATTACATTAGGGGAATTCAAGTTTCCAAACATTATTTGGGATAGTCACAGTGTAAAGGGTTTAGAGGGGGTAGAGTTCTTGAAATTGCTCAGGAGAGCTTTTTTATGTCAACACATGGAAGGTCCAACAAAAGTCAGTGCAGAGCTGGACCTAATTCTGGGCAATGAAGGCTGGTTGAGATGGCAGTGAGGGAGCATTTATCAACAACAACACTGTAATGGAAAAGGAAGGAGATAGTCTGCAAAAGAGAATTTTAGATTGAAGAGAGCAGATTTTCTTTTAAAAAAAGGCAGGAACTAGCCAGAGTAGACTAGTCTACTAGAAGTCTAGTCTACTAGTAGACAGCTAGTTGTGGGAAATACTTTAGCAGAAGTGTAGAATGCACAAAACAAAGGAAATGGGGAGAGAACAGGTCTTTTAGGATGAAATGTAGGAGTAACAAGCCCAGAGAAGCCTGGTTGTCTAGCAATATTCAGGACAGGATAAGAAGGGAAAAAGAGGATTTCAGCAGGGGCAAAGGGAGAGCAACTCAAACAGAGGCCTCAGTGGAGTATAACAAGTGCAGGAGGGAACTTCAGAAAGCAATTAGGACACAAAGGCAGGGCATGAAAGACCATCAGTGGGTAAAATTAGGGATAATCCCAATAATAGTAAATAAGTATATTAAGGAGAGGAGGTTAACCAGGGAAGGAGTGGGGCAGAGTAGCATGCATTTGGGACCAAGTGGGAAATCTCTGTGTGGAGCCAGAGGACTTTGGTAGGGTGTTAAATGATTACTTCACCTCTGTCAGGCAGAGCAGGATGTAGATACAGAGTTCCAGCAGAGCAAATATGAGGTTCCTGAACAGATTGACATAGGGTATGAGGAGGTATTGGAGGTTTTGGCAGGCTTAAAAGTGGACAAATTTCCAGGTCTGGATGAGGTGCATCTCAGGCTGCTCTGGGAGGTGATGGTGGAAATTACAGGAAAGCCAACCCTAATTTTTAATTCCTCTCTGACTACAGGGAAGGTACCAAAGGATTGGAGGACAGCTAATTTGTTTCCACTTTCCAAGAAGGGTGGTAGAGATAAACCAGGAATTACAGACCAGAGAGTCTCACAGTGATAGGAAAACTGTTGGAGATAATTCTAAAGCAGAGATTAATCTCCACTTGGACAGGCTTTGTCAGAGGAAGGTCATGTCTAAGAAATTTGATAGAATTTTTCAAGGAGGTGATCAGGTGTTTATATGAGAGTTGTATAGTTGATACATCATTTAGATTTCAGCAAGGCCTTTGGCAAGCTCCCACACGGGAGATTGAGAAAGAAGGTAAAGCACAGGGTAACAAGACAAAATGGATCCAAAACAGTCTTAAATATTGCAGACAGGGGGTACTGCCCTTTAATATATTAAATGAGAATGAGGGTTTGCTGGTGTTTGATAATGAGGAAGAAGGTTACAGGAGGATATAGACAGATTGGCTAGATGGAAAGATCAGTGGCAGATGGAAATTAACCTTGAAAAGTGGGAGGTGATGCACTTTAGTTAAGTTACAAGACAAGCGAGTACATGATGAATGGCAGAAGCTCAGAAGAACAGAGGGATCAGAGGGAGTGCTCATCCATAGAAGGTGGCAATAGGGTGGTTATGAAGGCATAGGGGACAGTTGCCTTTTCCAGTTGAAGGAAAGATTACACGAGCAGGGAGGTTAGGTTGGAACTGTACAAAACTTTGGTAAGGCCGCAGCTGGAGTACTGTGTGCAGTTCTGGTCACCTCACGAAAGGAAGCATGTGATTGCACTGGAGGGGGTTACAGAGGAGATTCACCTGGATGTTGCCTGGGATGGAGCATTTTAACTAGGAAGAAAGGCTGGATATGTTCACTTTGTTTTCTTTACAGCAGAGAAGGCTGGGGCTGGGGATATGATTGAGGTATATAAGATTATGAGGGGCAAGGATAGAGTGAATAGAAAGCAGCTGTTCCTGTTAGTTAATAGCAAGGGGACATTATTATAAAGGTGAAGGGCAAGAGGTTCAGAGGGGATTTGAGGAAACAATTTTTCACCCCCACAGTGGTGGGAGTCTGGAATGCACTGTCTGGGAGGATAGTAGAGGCTTTAAAAAGTGCCAGGACGAGGACTTGAAATGCCATAACAGTCATTGTTATGGGCCAAGTATTGGAACGTGGGATTAATGTAGATAGGACAGCACAAGCATGATGGGCCGAAGGGCCTCTTCTGTGCTACTTTTGTCTTTCACTCGAAAGAGCTTTGTTAACATTTTCCAGAGACACCTTGTCCCCTTGTCAGATCTCCAATGGCCGCTCTGCTTCTTCAATCCAAGACCATCAGCAAAGCACCTCATAAATCGTAACATCAGTTCCAACCAGAAGTGCAAAATAAAGTCCTTCTAAACACTATCCCAGCGCTCACTTAAAGACTGTACAGTTTGTGGGATATGTTTCCTCATGCAAATCTGCTATGGGGAATGAGGAAAAGCACAAACCAAATATGCTGATGCCCACAGCCTATCTACTGATCCATTCTCCACTGAGTTGGGGAGAGGGAAGACTTTCAAATCTGGCCTTAAAAAAAAATTATGTTGATTCCGGACCTCATACCAAATCAAGTGGATGGCTTTATAGTTTTTGATTTCCACTAAGAAGCACCATAGTATTAAGTTTCCTTATTTTCTGAGAGGACCGGAAACCAATCAATTCATGATCAAAAACGAAGTTGCTGGAAAAGCTCAGCAGGTCTGGCAGCATCTGTGAAGGAGAAAACAGAGTTAACGTTTCGGGTCCAGTGACCCTTTCTCAGAAATGAGTTCTGAGGAAGGGTCACCGGACCCGAAACATTAACTCTGTTTTCTCCTTCACAAATGCTGCCAGACCTGCTGAGCTTTTCCAGCAACTTTGTTTTTGTTCCTGATTTACAGCATTTGCAGTTCTTTTGGTTTTTAATCAATTCATGATGCTGGTTAAGTGCTAATAATTTATATGTTTGAAATGACAATCTCTGAATAGTATTGTAATCACTCAATTTGCAAGATAACATTTTTGCAATTGTTATTTTAAGAGTGAATTTATTTTAAATTTTAGTTAATGCTAAATGTTAAAATAGTAGACTAAGCAATTTCATTTGATCTTGTTTCAGTGTGATACTTTAAGGCTTTAAATTTATTTGTAATATTCATTGAATAAATTTGGGCATTTGTTTTAGACGGAAAAAAACACTGGATTGCTATGAAAAACCAGGCAAATATTAGTGAATGCACTTATTACACTATCATATAAGCAGCACCTTTCTTCACTAATTTTAGGAGCACAGCTATTTACACCATAAGCCCACAAGAAGGCCATAAGAAACAGGAAAAGGAGCAGGCTCTTCAGCCCCTTGAGACTGCGCTGCCATTCAACAGGGCCATGGCTGAACACTGAGAACAATTCTACATAACGTTAACAACTTTTTAGAATGAAAAAGTTACTTCATGGTGATGCGATAAAGATACATGCCTGTCATCAAGTATATTTGAACCAGCATACCTTTTCAAACTCAATAATCTATTAAATATTGACTAAACTCTTGTTTTGTATAATTTAAAATGGTTGACTCAGAACTAACCTGTGAGGCACTTCCTCTCTCCCAAATCTATTTCGAGCCATTGCTGGCTCTCACCCTCGGCAGCAGCCCAACTAGGTCCTGGAACATTAAGTCGTGCTTTGTCTGGTGACCAACTGACAGTTTGACCATTTTCATCTGTCCATCGCCAGAACGATGTGGCATTGATCCGATGTTCAGCAATGAGTCCCAATTCCATTCCCAAGGGTTGATTACAACCTGAGTAAAGAGATGTGTATATGAGAAAACTGTGGAATTGGGGTTCAAAAAGAACACGGATGGATAGACATTAGCCACCTGGATTACTTTAGTAGAATCTAGTTTTAACTCAGTATGCATCAATAACTAGAAACCTAGCAAATATTACAGCATTGAGAAAAAAAAAACTCACATTGCTCACCTACTCCTGATAGCTATCACAACTGCAAGTTTAATTTTACTCATATACACAGGCATCTTTGTAGAGAATTGTGTCAAGCCTCCAGTGTCCCAATACTTCATAGGTTCTGTGGAAACATCCCTTTGGCACCTTGTCTTCGCCATCATTGTGCATAATGAGCCAGAAATGGAACAACTCCTGTTTGGTTAGCATGTTATCCATAACTTTCTGCCCTTTGGCTCTCTTCAGCCAATAAGCCATGGGGATAACACATCATTTATGAGGGACAGAGTGAAATCATTTACATGTGATATCAGGCTTCATAGACACCAAACCTCCTGAATACACTTCCTAGATAAAACAACTCTGTCAAAAAGGCTGAACTCACTGCCTACCTTTCTGACAAACTTTTATTCAAAGTTGGCTTGTGGCAATTCCTGCAGCCCAGTTGAGCTTACAGTAACTGGATTCCCCAGATAACCAATAATTGTACTTGGGTCCTTAAGACTTGCTACTGCACCTTTCACCTCTACCTTAACTCTACTCAGGCCCTGGACCAGGCCAATAGAAGCCATCTCAGCCATGGATCAAAAAAATATTCAAGTTACACATCCACCTCTAGAATCTTAGCAAGTTGGATGCAATCAAACTATAGTTGATCTTAAAGCCAGCAGCCTTTTGATATGGAACCTAACTGTAAATACCCAAGCCTAGATGTCTTAATCTACATTAGTGTATCACGTTGATAACTCAAATAGCTAAACAAAAAGTTCCCAGCAGAATGATGAGGTGCTGCCCTTTAGTGACAGAAATAAGGATGCCACATCATCTTTGGGAAATAAGAGTTTAAATGGCGTTCGGATGCACAAATGATTTAAGGGAACAATGCAGGTTAACAAGGCTATAAAATATACCAACAATATACAGGGGTTCAGTTAAGAAGATCAGATTCGAAAAACAGAGTTATTTTCAATTTGTACAGAATCTTAGTTAGGAAAAAATGAGTCCTGGCCAATATTCATTCTGTCAATCAATATTTTAAAAAAAAAACTAAGAATTATCACATTATTGTTTGAGAGAGCTTTCTATGCATGCAGTTGGTTGCAGTTCTCAACACACAAGACGAACTACATTTGCAGAAAAAATAAATGCTCCACTGCTTAGAATGCATTTTACCACATCTTGAGATTGTGAATGGCGTTACATAAACATATCTTGAATATATAAAGATGCACTAGATAAAGTGCAATAAAGGTCTACAAAGATGATATTAGAACTGAAGGTGGAAGTTCCCTGTTTTCAGTTGAAGCGTGTTGTTGAAAGATTCATGAATCCAGTCTTGCATGGCACACAGCGTCTTTTTTTCTCACAAGCTTCCTCTCCTCATTTTGTTACAAATGCATTGAAGTGATTCAGCAGCTTTTTTGCGCAGCTGAACAAGGGGAAGTGCTGTTTGCTGGTAGGGCTTTCCAACATTCACTCTTTTGGCACCACATCTAAAACCCAGCTACGCGCCACTTCAGATGCTGCAAGTCAGGAACTGGCCCTCACGTTGTTATCCCTGAAAACATGGCCAGGAAAGGCACGTTAGCTCCCTGGAAGCCAGGAACCGACAGGTGCTGGTGGATGGAGTAGTGGAAACTTGCTACATTTTTGTTTCCAGCAGAGTTTTTTTTAAAATTTATTTAATGTGGATGTCGCTGGCTGGGGTGGGTCACCCCTCACTACCTTCGAGAAGGTAATGGTAAGCTGCAAACCTGAATTGCTGCAGTCCATGTGTAGTTGGACCCGCAATGTCATTAGGGAGGCAATTCTAGGATTTTGACCCAAAAACATCGAAGAATCTGAATGAACAGGCTGGAGAGAAAATTGCAGGTGGTGCCTCATCCCTGTGTCTGCTGCTCTTGTGCTTCTAAGACAGGAAAGATTATGGACTTGGAAGGTGCCGTCTAAAATCTGGTAAATTTCTGCAGTGCGTCTTGTAGATAGTACGCATTGCTGCTAGTGGGCATCGGTGGTGGAGGGAGTGAATGCTTGTGGATGTGGCGCCAATCAAGCGGGCTGCTTTGTCGTGGATAGTGTCGAGCATTTTGGGTTTTGTTGAAGCTGCAGTCATCCTGGCAAGTGGGGAGTATTCCAACACACTCCTCAAATGGGCCTTGTAGTTAGTGGACAAACCTTTGGGAGTCAGGAGATAAGTTGCTCACCTCCAGTATTCCCAGCCTCTGACTTACTTTTGTAGCCATTGCATTTATATAGTTAGTCCAGTTCAGTTTCTGATCAATGATACCCTCCAGGATGTTGACAGTGGGGGATTCACTGATGGCATAGCCACTTAATGTCAAGTGATAGTAGGTAGATTCTTTCCTGGAGATAATCATTGCCTGGCATTTGTGTGGTGCAAATTTTACTTGCCACTTGACAGCCCAAGCCTGGATGTTGCCCAGATCTTGTGTATTTGAACATGGATTGCTTCATTACCTGAAGAATCATGAATGATGCTGAACATTGTGCAATCATCGGTGAACATCCCAGAATCTGATCTTTATAAGGGAGGGAAGGTCATTGATAAAGCAGCTGAAGATGGTCTGGCCTAAGACACTACCCTGAAGAACACCTTTATGCCATGGAGGTGAAATGACTGACCTCTAACAAACACAACTAACTTGTGTGCTAGGTATGACTCTAATCTGCAGACAGTTTGTCCCCTGATACTCTTTGATTTCAGTTTGGCTAAGGCTCCTTGATACCACACTCCACTGAATGCAAACTTGATATTAAGGGCTGTCATCCTCACCTCCCCTCTGGAATTCAGCTCTTTTGTCCATGTTTGAATGAAGGCTGTAATGAGGTCAGGAGCTGAGTGGCCCTGGCAGAACCCAAACTGGGCATCACTGAGCAGGTTATTGCCGAGCAGGTGCTGCTTGATAGCACTGTTGATGACACCTTCCATCACTTTACTGATGATCAAGAGGAGACTGATGGGGCTGTAATTGGTCAAGTTAGATTTGTCCTGCTTTTTGTGTTCAGGACATACCTGGGCAATTTCCCACACTGTTACAAAGATGCCAGTATTGTAGCTGGACTGAAGAACATGATTAGGGATAGGACAAGTTCTGGAGCACAGGTCATCATCAGGATTATCGCTGGAATGCTATCATTGACCCAGTGCAACGAAATCCATCCCCAGACTTGAATGAGACTTTCTTTATGTCTCCATGGGCTGCCCCTTGATAAGTCCCTTGATCATTATTGAGCAAGCCTCTGGAACTGACTATGGCCCACTCCCAGACTGACTTTGCAGGACAACTCAAACTGAGCATGGCCCAGCGTCTGGTCTGAAATTTCCACAGCACCCTTACTAACTGAATTGTAATCCTGGGATTGGTTGGATTTGACCTACAGGACAGACTGTGGTCCAAAAGATTGACTGCTAGGATACAGATCCATGGAACCTAGGAGGACAAAGTGTCTGACTGACTGTGATCAATCGACTGGTTTGAAATCAGGTAAGCTTCTTGACTCAGTGTGACTATACCACCTCTTTCATCACTGTCAGGACTGCACCCTTTTAACTTTCAGACATAGCCATTAAATTGAATCAATGGATTATGTTTGCTACTTAAGCTGCTGGCACATGCTGTAGGTATGACATAGTGCCATGCAGCGATATATTCACCTTCTTTGACAGTTCTTTGCACAACACCATGACAAGCTGGCTGTCTTTGCCCCTGCACTAAAAGACAAGTAAGTACCACGTCAGAAATGAATCTAAAAGTTACAAGACTTTGTTGATGCCCAAGATATGTGATTGTTGCTGCATGCAACATGATCCAGCAGAAGCTTTCAAGTTATAAGTGACCCGTTATTCCAATATAAAGTGTGAAGGGCTGGAGTAGTGTTACAAGTTATCTGAGAGCTGCCACAGGTGTGGCGAGGCTGGTGGTTTGCTGCTGCCAAAGTACATCAACATGGAGCATGAGAGTGTGCAGGAGATAATGCTGAAGGCATAGGTAGATGTTGCCATGACTAACATTTAGTGAGCTGTGCCTGTCAGGTATCTGCTACAATTTCCATATCGACAACTTAAGGTGCCTGGTTTCTCAGGAAGAAGAGGAGAATTGGAAGTCGCAAAGAAACAGGGTGAGTGTGGCTAATGACAAGACACAATGCATGCAAGGAAGGTAGTTGGCACTTGATAGTGAGAATCTGAAGTCATCTTTCAAAGCTGGAGGGTAAAATTGCAAAACCTTTTCTTGACGTCAAGGTTCAAGATTTTTACATTGTTCTTGAATTTTCCATACTTTGTCACCATTTCAGGGAGGGGGAAAATACAGCCTGGAATGTTTGTATTCATCAGGAAAGTCTGAACCAATTGGACCTCTTCTCTGCAGAAGACAGAAGGTCAATAGGTAATCCAAAAGAGACAAATTATGAAGGAGGTTTGACAGGGTAGACAGAGGTAAGATGCGACTACTTGTTGACAGTTGAAACTAGATGGTCCAAATATAAAGATAGTAACTAGTAAATCCAATCAAGAATTCAGCTCCCTTCTTTAGAGGGCAACTGGTCTATGAAATTCACCACACATGGAGCAACTAACACAAACAACTGGTACCTGGGGATAAAGGACTAGAATAAAATGCTGAAATATTTAGGTGAAATAGGGCAGGGGGAAGCTCATATGGAGTAGAAGCAGTGACATCAATCCACTAGGTCAACTGGCCTTTACCTGTACTATAAATTCTTTGTTGATCTTTTAAAATCATTCTTCTGAGTTACTTCAGCAAAGATTCTCTTAGTCTGGCATTAATTTCATTTGAGTTACATCAATTCTACGGATCTAAACCTGTTTGCATTCAGCGCTTGATGAAAACATTTGCATACATCCAATTCAAGCCTAGTGACCAAGACGCTTGAATGTTTTTTCAGGTCCAAAAGCTATGTTAAAGTTTTCATTTTTGAGATATGTTCAAACTTTCACGTCGCCCAAATAATAGTGGGCAAAACCTTACCTTACAATATCTCCAAGAACCACCAGTGTTTGAGTAGGTTTTTGGTAAAGAGACCAAGCTGGTTATGGTCTTTAGTGACCCACACACACAAGATAATCACAACTACCACACTGAATATTTATTGGTTTTTGTACATTCTTTTACATAAAGGTCTTTTTAATACTATTGTTAATGTTCTGTACAGGAACAGCTCTTGTAATCTAATAAATAAGGACTTCAAAAATAAACGTGCATATTCCAATAGACATTATTTTACAACCTGACCCAAAATAATTTGATTGAAAATTCAAACCACTACGTCTAGCTTCCGGCTAGCAGCAGCCCTGAAAGACAAAAAACTTAAAGCAGCCTGTATAGTGGTGATGAGTGAGGCCTCAAAGAATCAATGAACGGCATTGATTTCTAAAATTGATGTACAACCATTGTTCACTTATTGCAGTTGCAGTGTAGTTAACTTTAAGAGAATTAATGCTGTGCAAGAAAGCAAGCTTTCGCAGTTGAAGTGTCAGTAGACAGTAAACCTAATTTGGAAGTTATTTAAATGCAGGTCATTGACTTTATGCACATTATCTGTCACACTCAGTTCAACTCCATAGTTGGTCCCAAGTCTCTCTGGAGAGAGTCATTCTCATTTTTCCTCATCACTTGCCCACAAGGCTTTGTATCATCGGCATATGTATTAGTATTACAAAAACTCAGTTGCCTATCATTTACATTGCAAACAGGTTTCTGCAAAGATTCCTGCAGAGCTACACACTCACTAATCTGTCTTCAAATGCCATACCAGTTAGACTGTTGGCTATTCCACAACTTTAAGACTTTTTTTTAATTAGCCACACATGAGGAAATTTGCCTAAGGCTTTCTGAAAATCTGCTGGATAACAGTCATAAATTAGCATTCTTAACTCCTCAAAGAACTGCAGAAAGCTTTTAAGCTATGCTGCATTACGTCTCAAAATGAGGAGCAGAATTTTACAGTGGTTTGCCAATAGGTTTTCAGGTGGGAAAGGGCCTGTAAAATTCCTTAGATGACCTTCCTACCACTCTGTTGCCTGCCCCTGACTCCTTTGTAATCATACATGGGCCAGCTGAGGCCTAAGATGGCCTATGAGCCCTTGTCCCAAGTGAGACTGTTAAGCAACAAATAATTGTCACAAAAACAAATTAGAAACAATACTGGATAAATATTAATTTTGTAGGCAAGTCATACTTTAGGCTAAGAAATGAACTTCCCTCATTTAATTTTTAAAATGACTGAAAATCCTCTCCATGGTTATAATTTACACCAATTCTTCAGTGGTCACTTCATTCTGCAGAAGCCAGTCCAAAGCTGTTCTTAGCTCCTGACGGCTCGCTTCCCTTTTACAACAGGATAAATTCAAATCTCTGAACTGACTCTCGTGGTGGTGGTTTCTCTGGAATCCCTCCCTTTAGTCAAAGGTGAATCTTCCAGCTTCATTTAAATCTCATGAAATTGGTCTCTGCAATCATTGTGTGAGCTCTTACCTACATTCTATGTGGTAAACAATGCAGACTGGCTCCCTCTGTCCTTCTACCCTCTCTTCCTCAAATTCTTGCATGCCTTGTCTGAAAGGTTCAAGGACATTTTCAGAAAGTCCTAACAAATATTACAATACAAAAGCTTTCTATTATGTTTCCCTTTCAAAGCCCATGTTCATGGCAATGTGAACCACACTTGTTTTGTATCTGGTAGAAATGCTGATTAACTATCTTCTAAATCCAAGTCCATTCTATCTTGGAACGAAATAGTTTAATTAAAGTGGAATCATTCATAAAATTTGACATTCTCGATAGCTCATTGTGAGACTTGGGAGACCAACAGACTACAGAAGTCATCACAGATGCCGTTGTTCCCCTGTGTGAATATCTCGTACCTTTTTCCCAGTATAAATAACCTAGATCACACTTTAACCTTTTAATAACCATGCCGCCCAAGCGTGGGTTGGGGAAGAAGTTAGAACAGCTCATATGACTCCCTTCATTCTTCCATTTTACCGAAATTTAAAGAGCCATTCACAAACATAACAACCTTACGAAGTTCATAATTTTAACAATACTATCTTACCATTAGTGTTAAACACAATCCGTTTATCTGACAGGGATCCACTGAAAATGCAACAAAACAAGGAGAAATGTAAATACAATATATTTTCAGTCAGACATTTGAAAATAGTAAACATGAATGACTTTTATCCTAAATGGTAGCTTGAGCTCAGTGCTCTTACTCTTTTGTAGCCTCAAGCCCTGCTACAGATTTCAGCACACAATCTAAGTTTACATTGGAGTGAAATAACTAAATAAATTTGGTCTTGCTCTTTTTCTTTTCCTTTATTGGAAAACCCTAAAGCTTTCTATAGGTATGTCAGGAATAAAAGAATGACTAGAGTAAGGTTGGGGCCGGTCAAGGACAGTAGTGGGAAGTTGTGTGTGGAGTCCGAAGAGGTGCTAAGTGAATATTTTTCGTCAGTATTCACGCAGGAAAAAGACAATGTAGTCGAGGAGAATACTGAGATACAGGCTATTAGACTGGACGGGATTGAGGTTCATAACGAGGAGGTGTTAGCAATTCTGGAAGGTGTGAAAATAGATAAGTCCCCTGGGCTGGATGGGATTTATCCTAGGATTCTCTGGGAAGCTAGAGAGGAGATTGCAGAGCCTTTGGCTTTGATCTTTATGTCGTCATTGTCTTCAGGAATAGTGCCAGAAGACTGGAGACTAGCAAATGTTGTCCCCTTGTTCAAGAAGGGGAGTAGAGACAACCCTGGTATTTATAGACCAGTGAGCCTTACTTCGGTTGTGGGTAAAGTGTTGGAAAGGATTATAAGAGATAGGATTTATAATCATCTAGAAAGGAATAATTTGATTAGGGATAGTCAACACGGTTTTGTGAAGGGTAGGTCGTGCCTCACAAACCTTATTGAGTTCTTCGAGAAGGTGACCAAACAGGTGGATGAGGGTAAAGCGGTTGATGTGGTGTATTTGGATTTCAGTAAAGTGTTTGATAAGGTTCCCCATGGTAGGCTATTGCAGAAAATACGGAGGCATGGGATTGAGGGTGATTTAGCGGTTTGGATCAGAAATTGGCTAGCTGTAAGAAGACAGAGGGTGGTGGTTGATGGGAAATGTTCATTCTGGAGTTCAGTTACTAGTGGTGTACCTCAAGGATCTGTTTTGGGGCCACTGCTGTTTGTCATTTTTATAAATGACCAGGATGAGGGCGTAGAAGGATGGGTTAGTAAATTTGCGGATGACACCAACGTTGGTGGAGTTGTGGATAGTGTGGAAGGATGTTGCAGGTTACAGAGGGACATAGATAAGCTGCAGAGCTGGGCTGAGAGGTGGCAAATGGAGTTTAATGCGGAAAAGTGTGAGGTGATTCACTTTGGAAGGAGTAACAGGAATACAGATTACTGGGCTAATGGTAAGATTCTTGGTAGTGTGGATGAGCAGAAAGATCTCGGTGTCCATGTGCATAGATCACTGAAAGTTGCCACCCAGGTTGATAGCGTTGTTAAGAAGGCGTACAGTATGCTAGATTTTATTGGTAGAGGGATTGAGTTTCGGAGCCATGAAGTCATGTTGCAGCTGTACAAAACTCTGGTGCGGCCGCACTTGGAGTATTGCGTACAGTTCTGGTCAACGCATTATAGGAAGGATGTGGAAGCATTGGAAAGGGTGCAGAGGAGATTTACCAGGATGTTGCCTGGTATGGAGGGAAGGTCTTATGAGGAAAGGCTGAGGGTCTTGAGGCTGTTTTCGTTAGAGAGAAGAAGGTTAAGAGGTGACTTGATAGAGACATACAAGATGATCCGAGGATTAGATAGGGTGGACAGTGGGAGCCTTTTTCCTCGGATGGTGATGGCTAGCACGAGGGGACATAGCTTTAAATTGAGGGGTGATAGATATAGGACAGATGTCAGAGGTAGGTTCTTTACTCAGAGAGTAGTAAGGGCGTGGAATGCCCTGCCTGCAAAAATAGTAGACTCGCCCACTTTAAGGGCATTTAAATGGTCATTGGATAAACATATGGATGATAATGGAATAGTTTAGGTTAGATGGGCTTCAGATTGGTTTCACAGGTCGGCGCAACATCGAGCATTACTGCGCTGTAATGTTCTATGTTCTATGTTCAATGTTCTATTATTTAAGGTAACAAGAGACAAAGATGTGTTTGCATAGTGCTACTTTAAGCAGGGAATTACTCTGACTATAGTGATTCCCTCGGGCAGATGGCACAACAGGCAGTTACCTGCAAAGTCCATGTGTTGCTTGGCAACGATATCAATGAGGAAATCTACGAGGGAGTGCTGATAGCAATCTAGAGTATCGTCTGCCACCGAAGAATCAATACATGGCTGCATAGCTCTGCTTGAAGTGACGTTGCACAAGCTAATCATTCCTAACGTTTTAAAACATTTACGACTGAAAATTCCACATTTTATTCAATTCTCGATAACAATTTTCGACCTTCAAGTCACCTTTGGTTAAGGGGGCTGTGGGGAGAAACTTAGCATTTCAATTTATCTTAGAAGTTTTTGCTGCCATAATGAATTTATTTCTCAATTAACAAATTTGAATTTGAATTTGAACCGAAACAAAGGAAACTTGTTACTTACTCTTTTGACAGAACACCATTAGCCAGGATGCTTGCATATCGACTCAGACCTTTGTGCTGAACAACATCTATCTTGCCACCCAGTTCATCCAGAATTACACCAGCATGAATGGCAGCTTTGCAAAGGGCAGATGTCTAAAAAAAAGTTAGTTAGATTGGCAACATTGATGTGCTAATAAATTGTTTATTTCATTCACAAAGGTAAACAAATGTTTCACAATCAAAGTTTCCCACCCTTAGCATCATCCTGTTTTTGAAAATCTTGAGATCCTGGGAATACTTCCATTGGAATAGAGAAGGTTAAGGAGAAATTCAAAAGTTTCCAATGCTGGTAAGGAATTCCAGTCTTGCTAACAGGCAAAGACCATCAGCCTCATCTCGGTGGAAATATGCCACCTCAGGAGCGTGGGTTCAAGTCCCACCTTGGTTCAGGTCACACCCAGTGCTGAACCAATAATTGAAATTGCACTCAAACACAGTACAGAGGGGGTGCTGCCATTTAGATGAAACATTAAATCACGGCACAATGCATATACTAAGGTGGACAAAAATATCGCAAATTTGATTAAGATTAGGAAGTTCACCTCCTATCCTGATCAGTACTGACCCCATAACAAACATCATTACAACGACTGGTCTCCAGAAATGGTGATGCACAGTTAGGAAAACTCAGTTATATCACAACCTCTAACACATCTCCTGAGCTGCTCTGAACATACAAAAGTTTGCTGAATCACAAACATTAAATAGTCTCCTCATTTTGTGTCAGCTGCTAAAATACTAGACAGCTGACAGGATGGGTAACAACGACTTCTGTCTAAACCACAACCTGTGGCTAAGTACGCCATATTCCAACAACCTTTTGAATGAAAAACTGGCAATTAAGTATTGCTGAAACACTCACTCATGACATTGTTTCCTCTAGTGGTTACGGGACTGGGCTTCCAACCACCACCTTCCACTAACATCTGTGCACCCAAAACTCTCCTGGCCTGTGTTTGAATACAAACCACATCCTATCAGAGATAGTAGGAACTGCCGATGCTGGAGTCTGAGATAACAAGGTGTGGAGCTGGATGAACACAGTAGGCCAGGCAGCATCAGAGGAGCAGGAAAGCTGACGTTTCGGGTCTGGACCCTTCTTCAGAAAAAAGAAGGGTCCAGATCCAAAACGTTAGCTTTCTTGCTCCTCTGATGCTGCCTGGCCTGCTGTGTTCATCCAGCTCCACACCACATCCTATCACGTCCACTTGCTGCCTGACATTGGTTACTGGTCCAGGAACTGCTCAAATTTAAAACGATCACCTGTTTTTCAAAACTACCCCCATGCCCTTTACTATCCATAATCTGTAATCCCTGTGATCCTAGATATCTGCACATCTCTAATTCTGGTCTCTTGTGCATTCGAAACAGTGACTTTTCATACCTTGGCTCTAGGCTCTGGAATTTGCACCACCTTCCTCTCTCTTCTCCGTTATGGAGAATCATTAAAGCCTACTACAAAAACAAGCTCTCATGAAAGGTTATTGACCTGAAATGTTAACTGTGTTTCTCCGTTTGCAGATGCAGTCTTGTCTGCTGAGTTTTTGCAGCTTTTTTTTAAATTTTCAGTTAATCCTTAAAACCTACCTCTTTGACCAGTCTTTTGGACACTTCTAAACACTCCTCATGTGGATACCTGAAGAATTTTGCAACATTTAACTATTTTAAAAGATATCACGAAAACGTAAGTTGATGTTGTATTTTTTATATTATCCACGCTACCAAGGCCCCTTAGGATTTTGTATGTTTCAATCAAGTCGCCTCTAGTACTGCTGAACTTTAACAGGTATAAAATCTAGCCTGACCATCCTTTCCTCATAAGCCAGCCTGTCCACTCATGTTTTAGTCTGGTGAATGTTCCCTGTCCTTCTACCAACACATTCACAACCTTCCTAAAATAAAGTGTTCGACACTACACCAGCTACAGTCTCACCAGTGCCTTGTATAATCATAGAATCCTACAGTGTGGAAGCAGGCCACTTGGCCCATCAAGTCCACACTGATATCCCAAAACTCCAGACCCACCCTGTTCCTGCAACCCTGTAACTATAACTGAAACATAATCTCCCTACTTTTGTATCAATTCCTCTCAGAATAAATTATAACATTGTACTAGCTTTCCTAATTATTTGTGGTACCTCTGTACTAGCCTTTTGCCATTAACACTCTAGAACATCCCAGAGTTCTGCAATCTCAGAGTTCTGCAATCACCCACCATTTGGGTAATAAGCTTAGTTTTATTCCTCCTACAAAAATGAATCATTTACCCACATTATACTTCATTTACCAGATCTTTACACACTCACTCAACAATCTCACTCCTTTTGTAGCCTTCTCAAGTTCCTCTTCACAACATGCTTTTCAACCTATCTTTGTTTGATCAATGTCAAAACCAGGATCCGTTTCAGGATAGCTTTGAGCTCCACAGAATCTATGAAATGTACAGTCAGAGAATTAAAAAGCGACATTTTCTCTAGTCTGATACTCACATGCCTATATCCTTGAGAAAAATCACCAGAGACTTCTCCAACCACAGCTTTGCAACCAGCAGGACAATTTTTGCTAAAACAAACATGAAAAATATCAAATTAATGTCTGTTTTTCTAAACTGCAAGTAGGACAGGATGCCTGCTCCAGTTTTAGAATCAGAAAAATTCCAATAGACAGACTACTCACTTTAAAAAGATCATCAACCACAAAGGTCCATTAATATGGAAGGCACTGCCATTTACTCTTACCAAGGATGACATTAATTACTTGCATATTTTACACTGAAACGTAACAAAAGGATTATAACAGCCTAACACAACCCTTGAATTTCAAACTTATTTGTCTACACATAGTACTTGGACAAATTCTACATTTGAAATATCTTCGGTTGTAAGGCTAAGGACAAAGGTGAGGAACAGTCTTTTTTTTCCCCCATAGAGATTAGTAATTATGTTTCAGTGAGAAATTGCTTCAAAACGCAGTTCTTTAAAAGGCATTCTCCCAATTTCTCCATCTCAAAGCAGATAATGTTACCTTCCATACCAGTACTTGTAAAATTTCCCCCTTCACTTTGTGCTGAGAATTCCACTGCACTGGATGACCAGGCCCTTCATTCTGTCTATCCAATTTGCTGCACTGCCATTCTCTTTATTCCTTGTCCTACCAGATCCATTATATTGTTCCCTTGTGTCTTTCCTTTTGCCCAACAGCTTCTATCCTTTATCATTTAGGTATGACCCCACAAATGCATCTTCCACTCCATTTCCTAGTCGGCCTCTCCACCATCCCCAAACCTGTTTGCCGACCTCCCTGAGCTGCAAGAACTGTGAACAGTGATGTCCTTGTATTTCTTACAATTTAATGCAATGCATTCACGGTACACAATGTGATCTCCTCTACACTGGGTAGATCATTTACCAAACACCTTGTTATAGTTAACATGCGAGGCCTTGAGCTTGCTTGCCGTCTTAATTCTCCATCCCACTCGATTCTGATCTCAGCCTTATTCACTGCTCCAGCAAAGCCCAATGCAAGCTTGAGAACCAGCACCTCACTTTTTGATTAGACACCTTACAAGCTTCCAGATGCAATATAGAGTTCAACAACTCATGGCTTCTATTTCCTTTGGAGAGTAGATGCTCACATTAGTTCTGCCTACAGCCAGTAACACTTTGTCTAAATCTATCCTTTGTTTTTTTTTAAAACTTGTTGCATTACTGCCACTATCCACCTGCAACACCCTTTTGTCATTTAATCACTCCTCCCAACCATTCTATCACAGACCTCCCTCACTGTTCTTTCCTCCAGTCCTCAACCTTGCTCTGCACTTGTCTATGAACGGTTAAATGTTCACTTTCTTGCAGTTCAAATGAAAGCTAACCAGAAATGTAGAGTCTTTCTCCCTCCCTCTACCCACACACTCAAGGATGATCAGACCTGCCAAGTATTTTTGCTATTTTCTGCTTTCACCTCGGTGATTTTTTTTTTTGACAGATGATGCAGTATTCACTCAGCTCTGCACTTGTCTGTTATTCTAGAATACATTCTCAAATCGTACAGTGGAGCCTGAAATCTATAACTGCTTTACTGAATAACCATAAATTGTGTTATCAACTGGCTTAAATTACATTAAATGGTAAATGTATCATGACAACCCTATCATTTTCCAAATTCAAAATGTGAAGGGAGAAGCATGTGTTATGATATAGTGGTCACAATATCTAAATTAATCCAAGCTAAGTACTTTATTCTACATGGATGTGAGATATAAAGCATACATATTCTGAAGCTGGAAATTTTTAGGAGAAAGATCAATTACTCTGACATTTCTGATAAGAGTTTTAAATAAATTGGAAGGCAGTTCTCCAGGTCTGAAGAGTGAGAGGGAACCAATAAATATTTTAAAATCTGGCTTGATTGTCTTTGAGGAATCATGCAGTGGTTACATCACAGAAAAAGGCCATTTTGCCTTCTGTGTCTGTACTGGCCCTCAGAAAGAACAACTCACGAAGTGCCTTCTCTTCCTTTTCCCCTGCAGCCCTATGATTTTTTTTTCATTTCAGATAATGATCCAATTTCTCATTTGAAAGCCTCAATTGGTCCTGCTACCAGCACATGCACAGGCAGTTCATTCCAGATCCTAACCACACGCTGTATGAGAATGTTTTCAAATTGCCACTGCTTTTATTGCCAATTACTTTAAATTTGTACTTGCTGGTGATTGAAATGTCCATCGATAGAAACAGTTCCTCCTCATCTATTCTGTCCAAAGCCCTCAATGTTGAACACTTCAATCAAATTTCCAATCAGACTTCTGCTCTCTATGGGAGAAGTCTGGGCTGTTCTCCAACTTCATACATACCTTAAGTTCCTCATTCCTATGAATCTTTTCTCTACCCTTTCCATTTCCTTTCTAAAGTGTGTTGCCCAGAACTGGGCACATCACCCCTGTTGAGGCCAAATCAGTGTCTTATTCAGATTCAACATAAATTGTTTGCTTTTGTACTTTATACCCATATTGCTGAAGTCCAGACTACTATATGTTTTATTAACTGTGCTCACAATCTGTCCTGCCAGCTTCAATTATTTATGCAAATATACATCAAGTCCCACTGTTCCTGCACCTCTATCACTGATCCATGGGGATCTCCAATATAAACCTTCCTTCCGTTTATGAAACAATTGCTTCACCACTAATTATACTTTATTTCCAGCTTTTTAGCCATTTTTTTTGTATCCATTGGCTAGACTTTTCATGCTTCTACCACATAGTTACTTTACTAATGTGACAACGTTACTCTGGGACCTCAGAGATTTGAAAATCACTGCCAGAGATCCTAATATCTTCTCCCTTGCCGTCCTCAACAGCCTTGGCCACATGTATTCTGAGCTTGTGGATTTATATACTTATGGAGGTTGCTAAAGCCAGTATCTCCTCTCTCTCCGTGAACTTCTTCTAATATGTACACAGTCCTCAATCTAATGTCTATACCTTTTCCATTGTGAAGACTGATGCAAAATATTCATCAAGTTCTGTTCACAGCCAGATTACCTCTAGGTGCCCAGTGGGCCCAAATCTTTAGCTTTGTGTTTTTCTTCCCCCTGTACTCCACCCACATTATCTTAGCTGTCCTAATTTCCCCTCCCGTACTTTTTATAATCCTCCAGGAGCTCTGCATTAGTGAGCCCTCAGTATCTGCCATAAGCTTTACTATCTTTCTTAATCCTAATCTTTATGTCCCTTGATATCCAAGGTTCTCTGGTCTTGGATCCCCTCTTTGTCTTTAAGGAAATATATTTGCCCTTTGCTCTTGCCATTTCCCCCTTGAATGTGTCCTGATTCTCCACGACAGTTGTATCTGCACGTGACTGCTCCTAGTTCACTTGCAAATTAATCTTTTATAATTAACCTTAATAAAATTAACCTTTCCTCAGTTTAGATTCATTATCTCTGGCCCATCCTTATCCCATTCTATAAGTAGCCTAAATCTAACTAAGTTACGATTACAGTCTCTAAAATGTCCCCCAACTGAGTTGCCTTCATTCTGCTCCAGCTTATTTCAAATATTATATCCAAAACTGTCCCCTCCCTTGTGGACTTTCTACTTATTGGCTAAAAAGGTTCTCTTGGATGCAGTTTAAGAAATTTTCCCTCCCAACTCTGCATGCTATAATGATCCCAGTTAATATCTGGGTAAATTTCTCTGCTATTCCTTCCTTATTATGCTTACACTTCTCTAAACTTTGAGCAACTAAACAGAATACAGATCATTTACTTTTATGTTACCCTTATGCCTACTTAAGTACAGACTAGAAAATTCTTGTTCAGGTCTTGAATCTCTTTCAGGTCTGCCACCAATTTGTCTGTTTCTCTGTGAGAATCCTCACCTCGCTCGCTTCTCTCACTGATACTGACTGGCTATCACAGGGTCCCACTGCTCTTCAATACAAGAGATTACAAGAGCAAGAAGATTATACTGAAAGTTACACAACAACTGGAGAAGTCTCTGCAATCCATATTATAGGAAAGATATGATTGCACTAGAGAGGGTGCAGAGGAGATTTACCAGGATATTGTCTGGGCTGGAGAATCTAAACTATGAGGAAAGATTGGATAGGCTCAGTTTGTTTTCTTTGGAGCAGTGAAGGTTCAGAGTGGTAATAAAAACAAAGAGCTGGAAAAGCTCAGCAGGTCTTGCACCATTTGCAGAGATAGAAACAGAGTTAATGTTGAGTCTGACCGATTTACTTCACTCTGCGGTTTACTGGGTCTTCTTTGGGCTCCTTCCTGGAGTCCTGCCAGCACCCACTAAACTCTTGGCAGTGCCAGAACTGTTGGCAAATATGATTGGGCAGAGGGTACAGCTTCATTTCACTGAGGGGTGGAAGTCTGACTGGCTACTAATTGAGCTCGCCTGTATACAGTATAGCTGCAGAACAGGCTTCATCAAGTCGTCACCCAAGGGCCTGGAAAAAGTGTTATATAACCAACTCGTGAGCTCATGAAATAAGAGGGACAGCAGCAATACTGGGAAGAATTTTATGGGGACATCCCCAAAGCATTTTGCCCCAAATTGCTGCAATCTCTCTTATCCAATGAGCTCACATGAAGCACTTGATCAAATGTCTTTTGGCAGTCCGTAACCTCACGCCAACTGAATTATCCTCATCAACACTTACTGTTACCTCATCAAAAAGACTCAAATTAGTCAAACATTCTTTATCCTGAAAAATTCCATGTTGGCCTTTCTTAAATAATAACATTTGCCAAATTGAGTATTAACTTTGCCTTAAATTATCACTTCTAAAAGTTTCTCCATTGAGGTTAAAATGAATAACCCATAGCTGGATGCTGGGCTCACCTTTACATCCTGGTGAGAACAAGTATACAACAATTGTCTTCAAGATATTAGCAGGAAAAGACAGACTAGATAAAGATAAGCTATTTCCACTGGTTGGAGATTCTAAAATTAGGGTGCACAGTCTGCGAATTAGTGTCAGATCATTCAGGAGAGATGTTATGAAGCACTTCTACACACAAACGCTGGTAGATGTTTGAAAGTGTCTTCCAC